GTGTGGCATTATGGGTTAATGCGCCAGACTGCAAAGTCGTTTGAACTGCAAAGTTAGTGGTTCAAGCTCACCAGCCGTTCCTTGGAAACCCTATACAGGGTCACTATTGGTCGGAACTGATTCAACGGCACTAAACAACAACAACATTAAAATTATTATTGTTTTTATCTTGTCTTACAATTCAGTGCCAGATTTTTGGGAGAGAAATGGAGTTTTAATTCTCATGGAATTCAGATTTCTGGGTTCCTTGGAGGCTGAGGTGACCCATCCAAGCTATCATCCATACAGTACCTTCGAACCTTCATCTCTAAGGAAACTGGTTTTTTAAGTCATCTTTAAGTCAAATTATAGTCTAGCCTTCTTATTGTGCTTTCTGAAAATAATTATCTACATGTAGTTTCAACAGAAACACCAAGAGCCATATTTGCTCACTTGATTCCAACTCATAGTGAGCCTGCATAGGGTTTCCAAGGCTATAAATCTTTGTGGGGACAGAAAGTCTCATTTTTCTCTCATGAAGCAGCTGGTGGGCTTGAACTGTCACCCATTCTGTTAGCAATCCAGTGCTTATCCTGTAGCAGTACTATGGCTCATTTGGGTTATACTAGGGTAATTCAGCAAATTAGGGTAAATTGGAAATTATTTTAATTGTTCTCAAAAGCAATGCTGTATAGAATCCTTCATGACCACAAATCGTTTTATCAATTCTATTCCAGCCCCTTTTCCATGGTTATGTAAAATTAATTTTAGGTAGTGCCAACTTACAACATATTTAAGCTACAACAAACTGCACTTAGGTTTTTTTTGTTGTTGTTGTTGCTGTTTTAACACCTTATTATTAGTAATGCAAGAGGGCTTCAAAATTTTGTAGAAAACTTCCACGATCTCTTCATTGAATTTTTCCACAGCTTTTTGAAGACCCCTTGCCTGCACTATTTATAGATTTTCAGTGCATAATTTGCTTGTGTTACCATTTTCATGCTATGTTCCAAAGACAAAAATCAGATGCATAAAGATATTAATAAAAAAAAAAAATAAGGCCGTAATAATGAAAAGATAAGGTATTTGATTTATGTTAAAACCAACAGAGTCCTTGAAAGGTAACCCCACCATAGGGGAACTACCTGTGTTAGCAATAAGATGAGTCATTAAAATTTTGAAGTTATTTCTTCTTTGAAAATTTTTTACTCATTGGTAAAATATTAAGGAGCTCTGGTGGTGCAATGGTTAAGCACTCAGTTGCTAACCAAAAGTTCACTGGTTCAAATCCACCAGTGGCTCCATAGGGAAAAAGACCTGGCAATCTGTTCCCCTAAACCTTACAACCTTAGAAACCCTGTGGGGCAGGTTTACTCTGTCATAGAGGATCATTTGGATTAGAATCGACTCAATGGCACACAACAACACTAGGAACAACAGTCAAAATGTCACTCCATTTTGCCAATCATATTTTGAGTAAGCATTACTCAATTTCTATTGCTGGCTTACTATGATTTGGTTTTAGTGGAGCCATTGATATCCCCCTAGTTCTCCTGCTTGTTTGGTCACTAGTTTTTAGCCTCCTTTATAGTTCGTTTTGTAAATGGTTTCCGAAATGAGTAACTGTTCCCTAGGGATGTGTTCCTAGTGGTTTGGTCCCTTCTCTCTTGGCAACATCATCATTTTTACATGTTGATTATTACTTCTCAGCAACAGAACGTGTAAAACTTAACCAGTAACCCAGCCCTTTCCATACATGGATATGGCTCATCCCCAGTCATTTCAGATTCTATTTGCAGAATATAATTTATTTCCATTTCTTCAAATCCTGTGTATTCCTTGTCACATCAACTTGTCTCTCACTCACAAAATCATCACTCACAAAAATCACTAACTCCTATTGATTAGGATTCACAATCAATTTTAAATGCATCCTCTCCTTTCCATTTTGCTACCGCTTGCCTGGTTCACAATTATAGTGACCTTTTCATTAGCTCTGCCACTTCCTAAAATCACCCTCTAAAATCAATATGACATGTGATAGTGAAGGTTTTGTGTAAACCTGACTGGACCAGGATTCTCAGTGGTTTGACTATTGAGCTGTAGGAGTCCTGGTGTGGCGCTGTGGGTTAAGGTGCTGGATTATAAAGCTGGTTTGAACCACCAGCCACTCCTAGGAAACCCTATACAGGGTCACTATGGTTGGAACTGAGTCAAATACACTGAACAACAACATCCCCTTTGATGTTATTTGAAGTGAAAAACCAATAAGAGGATTAAGGGCAGAATACACGACCCTTAACTTTATCACCACACTGATCCGATTTATGGAGATTTCCAAATGTGTGATATGCAATGCCTTTTACTTTACAAGAGATAAAGGGAGAGAGAGTTGAGCGGAGAAGGAACAACCTACTACCACCACGATAGAAGAGTCTAGAGTGGACTGTGTCCTTTGGACCTGGGGTCTGTGCACTGTAAAGATTCTAATCCAGAGGAAGATTGATGTCAAGACACATGGAGAACTCCAAGAAATTCTTGGCCTGCAGATGCTGAAAGGGAAAAAGAACCTTTCTCCAGAGCCACTGTTCTGAATTCAGACTTCTAGCCTCCTAAATTGTAAGAGAATAAATGTCTGTTCTTAAAGCCATCCACTTGTGATATTTCTGTTATAGCAGCATTAGAGAGCTAAAACAGCATTTGGTACCAAGAGTGGGGTACTGATATAATAGGTATCTAAAATGTCTGGTAGCGTAGTGGTTACGAATCGGGCTGCGAACCTTAAGGTCAGTGGTTTGAAACTACCAGCCGCTCCACGGGAGAAAGATGAGACTTTCTACTCCCTCCCGTAAAGATTTACACCCTCAGAAACCCTGTACAGGGTCGCTATGGGTCGGAACCGACTCGACGGCACTTAACAACAACAAAATGTGGAAGCAGTTTTGGAATTGGATAATGAGAGTAAATTCCAATTCATAATGACCACCCCATGCACAACAAACCAAAACAATGCCTGGTCCTCACGACTGCAGTTATGTTTGAGCCCATTGTTGCTGCTACTGCGTCAATCCATCTTGCTGAAGGGCTTTCTTTCTTTGTTTCTTTTTTTGCCAACCCTCTACTTTAACAAGTATGATATACTTCTACAGGGATTAGTCTCTCTTGATAATGTGTCCAAAGGGCAAGAAAAGAAGTCTCACCACCCAAGCTTCTAAGAAGCACTCTGGCTATGCTTCTAAGATAGATTTGTTTGTTCTCCTGGAAGCCCAAGGTACTTTCAATATTCTTCACCAACATGGTAATTTAAATGACCATTGTTTCCTTATTCATTCTCCAACTTTCATACGTATATGAGGTGACTGAAAATACCAAAGCTGACATCTTTGCTGTTTAAAGAGGTGTTTTGCAGATTTGCCTAATATCATTTGATTTCTAGACTGCAGCTTCCATGAATGTTGATGGGGATCCAAGGAAAATGAAGTCTTTGACTGCAATCTTTTCTCCATTTATTGTGATGCTATTTATTGGGCCAAGGGGCTCTGGTAGTATAGTGCTTATGAGTCAGGCTACTAACCTCAAGGTCAGCGGCTCGAAACTACCAGCAGTTCATTGGGAGAAAGATGAGGCTTTCTGCTCCCATAAAGATTTACAGCCTCAGAAAGCCTATACAGGGTTGTTATGGATTGGAACTGACTCAACAGCACCTAACAACAACTGTAATTTATTGGTCCAGTTGTGAGGATTTTCATTTCTTTACATTGAGGTGTGATAATCCATACTGAAGACTGTGGTCTTTGATCTTCATCAGTATTTTAAGTCCTCTTCACTTCCAGCAAGTAGGTTGTATCACCTGCATATT